GGAAAGCTAATATTTTATCAATTTTTGTAGTTTAAATTTTTTATATATTTTTTAATGTTTAAAAATTTTTTTGTTTAATTCTTTGAGATGTTATCTGAAGTTTTCAGATGACAGTTACTTTTTGTATATTATTATTTTATTTAAAAAAAAAGAGAAAAAATAGTGTCTATATGTTTTTGTTATACAGTATAAAGTCTGTAATCCGGACGTCCATTATCCGGAATGATCTATAATCCGGACCTCAAAGCCACAAACTTTACGCATGCACGTAGAGAATGTGCATACATTACGCATGTAAGAAATGTTTAATGAAGTAAACAAATAAATATTAAGCTTTTTTTTTTGTAAAATTTGATACCCTTTAGATCATAATTGCTCTTTATTTCATAAATTACGCTTTCATATTTTTAATTGTATGATTTCTGCATGCTATCTTACCAGATTTAAATTGATGATCTATAATCCCGAATCGACAAAGTCCTGACGAGTCCGGATTACGGACTTTGTACTGTATATTTTTTAATCAGTTGATTTTCCATTAATTCTCAAAAATCACTTGTATGATGGGTGAAGGTTATAGCTCAGTGTATATCCTTAAAAGACATGACTCCACTTTGCTAAACATAACTTTATTCACATGCGCCATACAACTATCACAACTATCATAACATAACAGAAGACTTCTACACAAAAATTTGTATATTCTATACTCGAGCTCGCAAAGTAGGCGAGTTCACCATCGCACTAGCAGTTTTTACGTACACAACATGACGTGGTCTGGCGACGCATGCAGCCAAACAACAGACTGTCACAGAGTGTCCCCCCAGTGACACAGTCATGACACAAAAGGGCTTTGTCTGCAAATTTCCAGTTTAAAATATACACATTCACATAATAGTTATACCTAAAAATGTACATACAAAAAAAATTATATGAATAGCAATAATACACTTAAATTCTAATTGAAATATATCCCCATACACTGCATAACTTAGTTAAACAGAAATAATGAAAAGTTAATAAGAATTTTATGTAACTCCCAGTATGTAAGCAAAAAACAGAATTAATTAAGTAAGAGAAAATCATATTACAGTGATTAGTTTTTCAGGAAAATGAACACAATGTCCACTGCAGGTAACTACCTGTTTTGGAGCAATTTTTTAGTCTTCACGGACTTCCTGTGGAAAATGAGGAATTACAGGTGAATCTATATGTTCCAACAACATATATGCTGGTTTTAAATGATCAATTGAAACTGTAATCTTTTTGTTATTTACCTCAATAATAAAATTTTTGTCCATTCGTTTAACAATGGCACGAGGACCAGTGTAAGGTGGAGTTAGAGGAGGTTTAACAGAAATGATATGCAGAAATATATGAGAACAGGTTTGAAGTGCCGGGTGTACATAAATTAATGGTTGAACATGCCTAGGGGTAGGAATCAGTCTAACTAAATGCATGACTAATCGAAGCTGTGACACATAAGATTCAGAAGTAGATATGAAATTAGTATCATTCAGCATATCTGAGGGTAATCTAAGTGTGGTATCATAAACAAGTTCAGCACAAGTAGCATTTATATCTTTCTTAATGGCAGATCTGGTACCCAATAGAATTATAGGCAGAATTTCAGTCCATTTTGGATTATTATGAGCCATTATTGCATTTTCAAGTTGCCTATAAAACCTCTCAATCAGCCCATTGGACTCAGAAATATAAGCAGTAGTTCTAATGCGATGTGTACCTAGAATCTTCATTAAATCCTTAAATAAGTGAAAATCAAAATTTAGGCCTTGATCAGTTGTTATAGATACCGGGCAGCAAAATTTAGCTATTCAGTTATGCACTAACACTTTGTAAGTCGTCTGAGCTGACTTGTCAGCAGTAGGTATAATTTCTGGCCAGCTGGTAAAACTGTCAATAATTTTAGAATGTTGGCACTGTAAACAAGATTGAACTGCAGTTTTAATAAATTTTTTCATATTAGGCCAAAAATAGCGCTTAGTAATTAGTTTTGTTGAAACTGAAATACCGGCATATGAAAAACAGTGAATCTGTTGAAAAATTTTAGAGCGAAAAGATTCAGGAATGAATGGGTGCAGTATACCTGTGTCCATGTTACAGTAAAGAGTAACATCTTCTAAAGGAGAATAATGTTTCTCTAGTTTAAAAACTGTTGAAGATTGAGATAAAGAATTTTGAATTTCAGAGTCCTGAATTTGTGCTTTGGATAACTTTTTATAATCAGTGGGTTAATTATCAGATGCTGCATCTATTTCTACCCTGGATAAGGCATCAGCAACAATATTGTCATGACCTTTGCTGTATTGTATGTCAGTGGAAAATTGGCATATAGATTCAAGATGACGAAGTTGTTGTGGAGAACACTTTTCGGGCTTCTGCTTGAAAGCATATATTAAGGGCTTTTGGTCAGTGTAGATTGTAAAGGCCCCGCCTTCAAGCATGGGCCAAAACTTCCTAATACACAAATAAATAGCCAATAGTTCTCGATCATGAGTTTAACAGATAGAAACTCAATGGGTTCCCAAACTGAATTATGCAGTTGCATTAATGAGCTACCAACCGCAACATCTGATGCATCGGTAAGTTTCAAGGTTGCACCAGGAATTGGGTGTCTGAGAAGGGTTGCTTCAGCAATTGCTCTATTTGCATTTTCGAATGCTTCTCAGCTTTGTCGTCCTATTCGAGAGGGTATTCTTTTGTTTTGCTTGGTTGTGAAGTTTTCCTTTTATTAATGTGGCTTCCAATAACCTATTCAAGGGAGCTAAAACATGTGAAGCTCTTGGGACAAAACATCTGTAAAAGTTAAATAATCTGAGAAATTTTTGTAACTTATTTAAGGTGTTTGGTTTAGGAAATTTTTGAATGGCTTCCACCTTGTCGGGTAAAGGTTTTAAACGCTGTTCCGATAATTCAAAACCCCAAAACTCCAAAGATGTTAAACCAAAACTGCATTTAGATGCATTAATTCTTAACCCATAATTACTTAATCTTTCGAAAAGAGCTTTCAAGTGTATGAAATCCTCCATTTTGTCTTTTGACGCAATCAATATATCATCGACAAAAGCAAATGCTCCTGCCAGCTCACGAGTTACTTCATCGATAAAACGTTGAAAGGTTGCAGCCATGTTGCTTGGACCAAACTGCATTCTTGTGCTCTCAAAAAGTCCAAAAGTAGTGCCAATAACCATTTTATAAATATCAGAGGGATTAATTGGAATTTGATGATAGGCTTTAAAGAAGTTTAATTGAGAAAATACCTTTGCTCCATGCAACTCTGCTACAAAATCACAAATGTTGGGAATAGGATACTTATCCTTCACTGTCTGAGCGTTTAACCTCCCAAAATCTCCCACAGGTTTCCATTTGTTTGTGCCTTTCTTTGACATCATGTGAAGAGGAGAGGAGTAATTACTTTGGGAGGGTCACGTGTGATCTAAATTAATCATTTTTTTTAATTTCATGCTTAGCAATTTTTATTCTATCTGGAGCTAGTCTCCTAGGCTTACATGAAATCGAAGGACCAATAGTTTCAATGAAATGCATAATATTATGCGTAACAGTCTTATTAAGATCAGGAAGCTTTGACAGTGAAAGAAAGTTAGATAGTAATTTATCATATACATTATTTGTAATAATTGTTTTAACAGAATACACTTGTGTGTTAATTACACTGCAATTAATTTTTAAATGCATTTTTAAATCAACAAGTTTATTGTTCCTTAAATCAAGTAATCAATCAAAATAGTGCAAAAAATCAGATCCAATAATATTGGTTGACACTTTACACACAAAAAAATAAAACTGAAACTGCAACGAAGTTCAAGGTCAATACTTAGAGATATCGAATAGGAGTACCATTGGCTGCAGAAAACGTCATAATAGGTGTCTGATGCACTTCATCTTTGGTTGCTGAAAGGAGACTGGCATCCATGCCAGTGTCGCACAAAAATATTTATTTGATTTTCTGTCTCTTTTGAAAAGGCGACAAGACTCAGAGGGTAGAGTGCAAGTCGCCATTACTCTTTCCCTGGTTCGTTTCCCTGAAACCTATGTGGTGGAACTTTTTAGCTCTCTCATTAATTTGCGATGATACCAGTGGTAGGAACAATTCAAAGCAGCTTTAGCTTCGCTTCTTGTTATAGCGATTTTTGGAAACGTTGCATGATCGTCATAGAGACAAAACCTCAACACGCAACTTGCAGACCTCATCCAGTAGGGAATCCTATTTAGAATTATTAGATACATTGACAGATACAGAGGTGAAGAAACTGTGCTTACCTAAGTAGGTGTAACTTCCAATATTCTATCAGCAATGCTGGCATCTTTTGACAAATCGAGCGGCTCAACCGACACTAGGATAGATTGGACATTTGGCGGCATTTGCTTATGTAATCTGAAATTTTCAGATGACGGTTACTTTATGTTTTTGTTACTTTTTGTATTTTATTTTTAAAAAAAGAGGAAAAAAATAGTGTCTGTGTGTTTTTGTTATATATTTTTTAATCAGTTGATTATCCAATAATTCACAAAAATCACTTGTATGGTGGGTGAAGGTTATAGCTCTGTGTATATCCTTAAAAGACATGACTCCGCTTTGCTAAACATAACTGTTCACACACCATATTTTAACACAACCATCATAACACAAAACTTCTATACAAAAATTTGTACATCCTACGCTCGAGCTAAAGGCGAAGTGGGTGAGTTCACCGTCACGCTGGCAGTTTTTACGCACACAACGTGATGTGGTCTGGCAGCGCACGCAGCCAAACATCAGACTGCCATGCTTGTTTAAACATAAAATTATATTTGTCTAATTTAAAGGTTTGAGAAAATGAAAATTGCATTCTTGAGGGAAATAGAAAATTTTGTTCTGTAGATAAATTTTATTTAATATGCATTTATTTTTAGTATTCTGAAAAATTTGCATCAATAGCAAATTTTCTGTTTTTATTAATTATTATTATTATTATTAGCTGCGATTGCTGGAACGGGTGCCAATTCAAATCGATGGTGAACCATGGGATCAGCAGCCAGGGGACATCAACATCATCCATCACAACCAAGCTGTTGTCTTGCGTAACAGTGGCTCATAATTCGCCTCTTCAGTGTTCTGTGTGTTGATGATGAATTTGTATTAATCCTCCAAATGGACCATCTGCTCCAAATACTTGTGAGATGTTATTGCATTTATTACCTTTCTTGTGAAATAGTATTCTGTATTATTTATTGTTATGCAAATAATGAAAAAAAATGCCCCCTAAATCATTATTTCTAACTGTTGGTGCTAGCTTGATCCATGAACATTTAAATTATGAAAGGTTTCAGGGAAAAACAAGAACATGGAATCCTTTTTTATTCTTTAAACTCTCTATAATTAAAATAAGAGATTATTAGAAGAACATATGTTTTAAAAAAAATTTCCATGCCAGAGAAGATGTTTCTTATATGTCTTCTATAATTTAAAGAATTTTTATTTAAATTAAAAAAAAAAAAAAAAAAAGTATATAATAATGAATTTAACAGTGAAGTAAAGTAGAAATACGAGTAATAGTTGAAGTGAGAGTTCATGATTTAACTGATTTAATAAATTATACTTTGCACGAGGTTTTCAGTGATATTGGCTCATTTTTATTGACTTATCAATACCAAAATATTGCATTTGGTAATATAAGGCTTCTTCTAATAATAAAATGACATTTACAAACTGTTATTAAGACACAATAACACGCCGAATAAATACTGATTCAGAAGTCAAACAACAAAAATCAAGTTTGCTCCTCCAAACTAGCCCTTGATGAAGAACTAAATTATTTAAAAGCAATAGCTATTGACAGGGGCTTTTCACCCAACATTATTAATCAAGCAGTTAAAAAATTCTCATCTCAACACACTAAAAGCCACACTCTTATTTTAGGAGATTATAAAAATTCTGTTGTCATTCCCTTCTTTCCATCAATTAGCTATAAAGTTGCACATATTTTGCAGAAATTTAACTTTCGGGTTGTTTACTCTCCCATCAATAAAATTCCAACTTCTATACTCAAGGACCCCATTCCCGAATATGAATTCCTGGGGTATTTATAGGATTCCTTGCCAGTGCGGTTTAATTTACATTGGCCAAACTAAGAGAGCCTTAAAATTTCGCGTCAAAGAACATGAGGCATATGTTAGAAAAAAGGAAACACAGAAGTCTTCTCTTGCTCAACATTGTTGGTCCGAAAATCACACTTTCAATTTTTCTGCTGCCAAAATTATTCAAAAAACATCTTCCATTGGAGAACTGGATTTTCTAGAGGCATTTCACATTCATAAAAATCTTTCTGTTCTAGTTAACGATCCTAATTCCAATCCAAATTTGCCTTCGGCTTTTAGAGAAATTATGTTTTAGTTCTGGTTTCGCCAACAGATGGCGCCACTTGCATATTCTTGTCCAGGCTTTCTTATCTTATCTAAACATTATTTCCTATCTTGTTCATTTGCGGTTTTGCAGCTGAAGATGATGGTTCGGTAAAACCATAGAAACTAGTCCTGTGAAAATTTTGTGAATTAACGCTGATTTTTGTTGTTTGACTTCTGAATCAGTATTTACAAACTGGTTCAAATTCTGAAGTTTCACCATTGTGATTAAATATATTAATGGTTTTTATTACATATTCCAATAAGTGTTTGCTTCTTTGCATTAATTATTGTTCCATAACTGACACTATTTTGAATTTTAGAATGCATTTACATTACGAAAAAATGGTTTGAACAAAAAGTTTCAGCTATGAAATGATATAGCAGTAGTCCTTACTTCCAGGCATAATATCCTTGCCATAGAAGTTTAAAATATTCAGCTCTGTGCACCTGATAAGAACAAGCATAAACTGAGAGAGTGAGATCAATCGTTCTTAAATATCTGATATTATTTTTACTAATGGTGAACTATTCTTGTAGCTTTATCAGCCTGTGTAGCCTGGGTGATTATGTCTCTGTTAAGAGAGAAACTGCAGAAGTTTGTTGCTTTGGTTTCTTTTTATTTTGTAAAATATGGAACTATTACATATTTTTGTAGAAAGTTGAAGTTGGAAAAATTACACGAGCAGTGCATAATAGATTTGGACCAGTTTAAGCAACAATATTATTCCTCTGTGATTGACTGCCCTAGTGTGAATGGGCCGTTAATATTGTCGCGTAGATGAGGGGATCCTACAAATGAACAGGCAAGTACAAGTCTTTTATTCACTAGACTCAAGACTTTTTATTCACTAGAACTGAATAAAGAGCTACTTATATACAGCTGGTGAACATGCTGAAACATTCCAGACTTGGAATGTTCTGGAAGAATAAGAAAGAAATTTACATAAATAAGATAACATTAACAACAAGGATATTTACATAAAAACCAATTATCGGGCATCTTGCCGTTGATGGGTTTCGAACCCGGTACTTTCGGGTTTCGAGTCCTGCGCCTTCTTCGCTAAGCTATGAGGAGCTCGGTGAAAAGAGCGATTTTTGCTACATTATCCCCTTCTTAGGAAGAAGCAGCATCCCGCTGCATTCTGGTCTGGCTTCTTGTAACAGGTCTCCTGGAAATATTATGCTTTCTTTCATCGTCTAGTTGTACTTTCGGATCAAGATAGGGCTTCAACCTCAACACGTGAACGATGTCTTTTGAATTCCGTCGTTTCTTAATTTGTTCCATACTTTCTACTTCGTACGTCACGTCAGAGAGCTGTCGTGTTATTCGATACGGTCTTAGAAGCTTTTCGGATAACCCAACCTTTCGTACTGGAGTGAAGACCCAGACAAAGTCTCCGATGTTGTAGCTGACAGGTCGATGTCTCTCGTCGTATCGGCACTTGTCTGTGGTTTGCGCTTTAAGAATATGGAGTTTTGCAAGCTGTCTAGCTTCTTCAGCTCTAGTGATCAGATGTTGCGCATAACTATCTTCGGGATCTTCGATACTATATGGGAAAATTACGTCGAGAGGAGTCTGGATATCTCTGCCATAAATGAGAAAGAATGGGCTGAATCCCATTGTGTATTGTTTGGCTGAATTATAGGCATAGGTTACAAATGGTAGAATAGTATCCCAATTTTTCTGTTCAACGTCTACGTACATGGACAACTTGTCTGCCAATGTTTTATTGAATCTTTCAGTTAAGCCATTGGTCTGAGGGTGGTAAGCAGTCGTCAGCAGATGAGACGTCTTGCATAGATGAATTACTTTTTTAACAACATTGGATAGGAAGTTGCGTCCTCGGTCACTTATCATTTCTTTGGGGGCACCATGCTTCAGTACAATTTCTTCAACTATAAACTTGGCAATTTCAGTGCCCTCAGCTGTCGGTATTGCCTTTGTGACTGAAATCTGGTAAGGTAATCTGTGCAAACTATAATCCACCGGTTCCCGTTTCGAGTAACAGGAAAGCGTCCAAGTAAATCTATTCCAATTTTTGTAAACGGTGTGTCAGGAGGTTTTATCGAATGAAGTTGTCCTGGTGGACGTTGCGGCGGTGATTTCCGTCTTTGGCATTCTCGGCAATGTGATACATACCGCCGTGTGCTTCCATATAGCCCTGGCCAATGGTACTTCCTCCTTATTCGGTCGTACGTTTTGGCAAATCCGAGATGGCCAGCGGTTGGAGCATCATGAAGACTTCTTAGAACCTCGCTACGAAGTTGCTTTGGTACCACCAAGAGCCACTGCTGTCCTGTAGGGTCATAGCTTCTTTTGTACAGTATGCCATTTTTTATTTGATAATTTTGATATGCGTCACCACTCTTGAGAGTTGTAATGATGGATTTTAATCGTTTGTCCTTCTGCTGCTCTTTTCCATAATCTATGATTGCTGCAAAGAAAGGGATGTCTTCATTGTTCTCAATTATTGGTTCTGTAAGAGGCTTCCTCGATAGTGAATCTGCATCGGAGTGCTTCCGACCGCTCTTGTAGACGATATTTATGTCGTACTCCTGCAACCTGAGAGCCCACCGTGCAAGTCTTCCGGATGGATCCTTAACATTGGCCAGCCAACATAAAGAGTGGTGATCTGTGACTACCGTGAAGGGTTTTCCGTAGAGGTATGGCCTGAATTTACTAATTGCCCAGATGACAGCAAGGCATTCTTTTTCGGTGGTGGAATAATTCCTTTCAGCTGCACTATCCCAAAACAGTGCCACTTGTCAGCAGCCTTTTGAGCGTTGCGAAAGATTCAATCTGTAACACGTTCCAAGAAAATTTTGCATCTTTCTTCAACAAGTCATGTAGGGGCTTTGCGATATCTGCGAAATTTTGGATAAATCGTCGGTAGTAGGAACACAAGCCCAGAAAACTTTGGACATCTGCGATATTTTTCGGAGGATAGGGATTTCGATAGGGAACTTTGCTACAGCCTCTACCTTTTGTGGATCGGGATATATCCCATGTTGATTGACTAAGTGTCCCAGTATATTCAGTTTCTTTTTGCCGAATGAACATTTCTTGGAATTTAGCGTCAGTCCTGCTCTTTGGATATATTTCAATATTTCCCTCAAACGCTTTTGATGTTCTTCGAAATTAGGTGCGTACACGATTATGTCGTCGAGGTAGCAAAGACAAATATTCCATTTGAGACCTCTTAGTACCGTGTCCATCATCCGTTCAAATGTGGCTGAAGCATTGCATAATTCCGAACGTCATGACTTTAAATTCATAGAGACCCATCTGGAGTCACAAAAGCTGTCTTTTCTCTGTCTTTATCATCAAACCTCTATTTGCCAGTAGCCTGACTTATAATATAATAGATTATGATTACATATTTTTAGCTATTATAGATCCATCAATAGAGAAAGTTTTGCACCAGCCAGGCAGTCCAAAGCATCATCGATGCGAGGTAACGGATAGACGTCTTTTTAAGTTACCTTGTTCAATTTTCTGTAATCGACACAAAAACGCCATTCACCATTTTTCTTCTTCACAAGTGCGACTGGAGATGACCATGGACTATCTGATGGTTGTATCACATCTTCTTTTAGCATTCGCTGCACTTCGTCTGCAATCACACGTCTCTCAGTGGCTGACATACGGTACGGCCTTTGTTTGATTGGTGCACTGTCACTTGTATCAATCTTGTGCTTCACCGAATTGCATCGGGATTTTTTCGCAATACTGTTAAAGTCAAAAATGTCACTAAATTCATCTAGTAGACTCAATAGCTCGTCTTCCTCAGCATTGGTCAAATTAGTATCAAAAATCTCTTTTAAGTTTTCTTGAGATAACCTTTTCCTGGACCTATGTCCCTTGGAACCTGCTGG